AAAGCCAGGAGAAACATTTGCAGAAACACGATGTAGTCCGCCATTGTAATTGTTATGCTTGAAGTTGGCGCAAGCGTTTCTAGTTTTTTGTTTTGTTTTTTGTTTTATTGAAAACATTATGTAAGAAGAAAACAGTCACAATATAGAACAAATAAATGGAAAGAAAAAAAAAAGACACAAGACAGGGGTACATAACTAATCAGAAAAGATTACATATCAAAGGAAAAGATTAAAAGACTTACATATTTCAATTGTTTTTAAAGCCTTCTTGGTTCACGAGTTAGAGATAATCCCAAAGTAATGTTGTACTTGCAAGCGTTTCTAGCTAAGATGTATGGTGACGTACACAGTGACGTAACGACGTCGTTCGCTGCTGGGCGCTCTAGTCAGTGGAAAAACAAACAGGTTCTGAGAACGTTCGCAAGTTGAACCAACTCCGAACCAACTTTAAACCAGCACCAGTTCCGAACCAGTTCTTTTTTGGTGGAAAAGGGGTATTAGAGAATTCACATTTATCATTGAGAGTCACTCCTTCCTTTTGCAGTTTTTGCAGCACAGCAAAGAGACGTTGATCATGTTCTGTCTGGGACGCTCCGAACACTAATATATCGTCCATGCGGCACAAGACCCCTTCTAGACCCTCCAGCATTTGCGACATCCTTTTCTGGAAATGTTCTGGAGCCGACGATATCCCAAAACACAGTCGGTTGAAGCAGAACCTTCCAGAAGGAGTAATAAAGGCGGTGAGGAGGGCTGAGTTCTGTGATAAAGGAAACGGCCAAAATCCTGAGCTGGCGTCGAGTTTTGAGAAGACCGTGGCTCCTTCCAGTTGACCAAGAGTAGGGATGGGAATTGATAAGATTTTATTTTATCAGGCATCGGATGAAACAGCCTCACACTAAAAGACGATTTATGTCTGATGCCTTTCTGTCTCCGGCTGTTTCGTCCAGTGACGAGAGAAAGAGCTGAACTTGGCATGCCAATTTTGCAAATGGAGCTTGAGGAAAGTAGTTTTAAGTTTTAGCGCCATGTCGCGTTGATCAATACGCCATTTCATGAAGCATTTTTATGGTCTAGTCAGTAGATGTCGGTCGTAGCAGCAACACACTGTGAGATGATGATGACTCTCAGTAAATGATCAGGCGATCTTTGATCTAAACACCGTTTAGGAGCCGCGACCACAGAAATCTCCACGAGTGTTTCACGATGATCATCTTGCGTCTGGAACAGAATCATACAGTGTGTGTCGGACATTAGATATGATAAATATTTATGTAGGAGACTTTGAGCTTTGTAAGTTTGCAGATCTTATACACATACAAACAGCAACATAACACACTAAAGAAAACATATGCATCATATGACACCTTTAAACCATTAATACAAATGTAATACAACTATTATTAAAAACATGTACATTGTTTGTTTTCCAAAAGCGAGATTGAACTTTTTTTCCCCTCATAATTATGAAAAATGAATCTTTCATTAGTGTTTGACTCGCTCTGCTGGTTCAACACAAACACATTCAGGCTCTATATTTACTCTAAAACTCCAACATTTGTGAGTTTATACTGTGTGTTTATACAAATAAAATGGTTAATCTATGAGTGAGAAAGTGTAATTTGCTGTGAAATAAAAGGTGTTTCACTGCCGCCTCATCAGGTCTGTCAGAGGATCGTTGAAATCTAAATGAAGTCTTAATTTATAACAGTGAAGTCACTGTATCTTCAGTCTCTGTTGATTCTGTTGACTGTGAGTCTCTGTAGTGGATCCTTATTCACCATCAGATGATCAGCAGAAGATCAGACTGTCATCTTCATCATAGTCAGTCCTAAAATAAAACACACAGACAGTCACATATGCAGTATGAGATATTACATCTCACATCTTTTCATAAGAAAACTAACTAGATAATCTATATTAATTCATTCTCAAACATGATAATATAGCTTCTATCTGATGCTTGAAGTCACTTTACAGAATCAAAAGCACATGAAAGGTCACTTTCACACACCGGACAGCTGACCCAGAACCAGCAGAAATCATCATTACACTCACTACAGATTTAATATCAGTTAATAACACACAACCCAAATCTCAGATTATCTCACACATAAGGCGTCTTTACACAGAAAAAGCGGCACAGAAACTAAATCTAAAGCGCCATAAAATCACTAAATGTGTATTTTGCGACGACTGTTATTTTGGTGGTTTGCTTCACGATGTATATCTTACTTAGTGTGTCTCTCTCTCTAAACACACACAAACCTGTCCACCAAATCAGCATACTCTCATACACACACACACCAAAGCATGTAACAACTACCTAACAAAACAGAAACTGAATTTAAGATTTATTATCTGATGATCTCAGACACAATATTCCCCCCCACACACACACACTGAACCTTTACAATTATTTCTAGTGAGTAAAGCAAGTAAAACAGCCATTTAAACTTTAAATGAAAATATGATGAAAATCGTTAAGAACTATTCTTACCGTAGTGTCTCCAGTTTATAATGTGGATCATCCCTCAGATCCTGCAGCAGCTTCACTCCTGAGTCTCCTAGTTTATTCTTATACAGATCCAGATCTCTCAGGTGTGAGGGGTTTGATCTCAGAGCTGAAGCCAGAGCAACACAACCTTCATCTGTGACTCCACACTCCCTCAACCTGTAGAGAACAATGACACACACTAAGCCTATATCCAGAGATAAACACAACACTTAAAATAATATATATACACATACTCATTAGTTCATGTTGTTCAAATACATCAGTTTGAATCCGTGTATTAGTCGTAAAGTTTATTTTTTATATTTTATATTGAAAGTAGAAAAATGAGAAAATGGTTCCTTTTTAGTGTTTTTAATTTTGTCCAAAAACGAGACAGTTTGATCTCCGGCTGATAAATCAGAGGAAAGGGGCGTTTCATTCCCGCCCACGTGTAGAAATCCAATATTCAAGACGTTATTAATGTTTCTACCTGAGAACGAAACACGACAAATCAAAATGAATTCTTGTTTTTCATAAAAAATAAATAAAAAAAAGTACACTTTTTATACTTTCAATATTAAATAAAAAAAATGACTGAACGAATGATACACAGATTAGGGATTTATTGATTAGGGGATTCAATATACAGTTTGTACAGTATAAAAATCAATATTTCTATGGAAAATCCCCATAAAAGATGGAAACCTAACGTATGTGTGTGTGTGTGTGTGTGTGTGTGCTTAATGTATTTGTAAACATTTTAAGGAATGTGTGTGTGTGTGTGTGTGTTAGGTCTGAAAAAAAAAATCAATTCTCCAAACTATCAAGATTTTTTTTTGTTTTTTGTTGGTAAATGTACAACTTGTAACGACTGGAAATAAGGTGTGGCCCCTTTAAGAGCTGTGTGCTCCCTGTTGAACTGTCGGCACTGGCAGTATTGTATTGTATGTGCCTCGAACACCCCTTTTACTGTCTATGCGAACACCCCATGTATGCGGGTAATTTTTGTTTGATGCTAATTTTTATCTTATTTTGTTTATTAAGTAACGATGTGGACGGTAGAACGTGTGACAGACAGTTAGGCTACACGAGTTCGATTTGGGAATAAAGTGCGAGTTGTGAGATGCCAATCGCCTCCGTGTGTCTGTCTGGCCTCTGCATGCAATAACTTCAGTTGTGAGCTATCCCTAATCTTCCTGAAGCAACAATTACAAACTGTACTTCAGTTTCATTGCGGGGACACCACCTTCACCTGCCATCATTTCTATCAGCTCGCGTTCGGGTTAAACTTTCCGCAACTGCGCAACTGGGTTATGGGTTGCCAGGTTTAGGTGACAAACGGGTTGAAATTGTAAATGGTCTGTGGATTGTGTGAATATAATGCATTTAATACAATCTGGCAACTGGTCAACATTAGACAAACATATTGGTCCGATTATTCATAAAGGAGTTTGGGCCATGCAAATTACGGTAGTTTCCCGGGAGAAATAACAAACCGGGAGGGGTCCGGGAGATAGGGCTAAAAAACGGGAGAAACCCGGGAAAAACGGGAGTGTTGACAGGTATGGGTGTGAACAGCCCCTTAGGGAAGGCGTTAGCTACTTTCCTCTGAACATAGTTGTCAACACTGGACTGAGTCACTGAAAGCCCTCGCGCTGCTCATATACTGAGAGAGAGACGAGACATTTATCCCAATTATTTGTATACAGTCTAATAATAAGAATATAATCTAGTAATACTGATTCATATATTAACAACAGCTTATAAAGTCTTATACTATTCATTAACTATAAACTAATAGTTTGCAAATGATTTATAAGCGCTGTGTTACTGTATACTTGTGATAAAGTGTCACCATTATTTCAAACTGGTCGCATTAAGTGTAATTGTTCCTTTTGTATGTGATGGAGTGATTCTTCTTTCTCAAAAATAACACAAAATAAACAAAGTAAAGATGAATTTGACTGATAGCATTATTATTATTTTTAACCCCGGATGGGGCTTACGCCACACATACACTCACCGGCCACTTTATTAGGTACACCTGTCCAACTGCTCGTTAACACTTAATTTCTAAGCAGCCAATCACATGGCGGCAACTCAGTGCATTTAGGCATGTAGACATGGTCAAGACAATCTCCTGCAGTTCAAACCGAGCATCAGTATGGGGAAGAAAGTTGATTTGAGTGACTTTGAACGTGGCATGATTGTTGGTGCCAGAAGGGCTGGTCTGAGTATTTCAGAAACTGCTAATCTACTGGGATTTTCACGCACAACCATCTCTAGGGTTTACAGAGAATGGTCCGAAAAAGAAAAAACATCCAGTGAGCGGCAGTTCTGTGGGCGGAAATGCCTTGTTGATGCCAGAGGTCAGAGGAGAATGGCCAGACTGGTTCGAGCTGATAGAAGGGCAACAGTGACTGAAATAACCACTCGTTACAACCGAGGTATGCAGCAAAGCATTTGTGAAGCCACAACACGCACAACCTTGAGGCGGATGGGCTACAACAGCAGAAGACTCCACCGGGTACCACTCATCTCCACTACAAATAGGAAAAAGAGGCTACAATTTGCAAGAGCTCACCAAAATTAATCAGTTGAAGACTGGAAAAATGTTGCCTGGTCTGATGAGTCTCGATTTCTGTTGAGACATTCAGATGTTAGAGTCAGAATTTGGCGTAAACAGAATGAGAACATGGAACCATCATGCCTTGTTACCACTGTGCAGGCTGGTGGTGGTGGTGTAATGGTGTGGGGGATGTTTTCCTGGCACACTTTAGGCCCCTTAGTGCCAATTGGGCATCGTTTAAATGCCACGGCCTACCTGAGCATTGTTTCTGACCATGTCCATCCCTTTATGGCCACCATGTACCCATCCTCTGATGGCTACTTCCACCATGTCACAAAGCTCTAATCATTTCAAATTGGTTTCTTGAACATGACAATGAGTTCACTGTACTAAAATGGCCTCCACAGTCACCAGATCTCAACCCAATAGAGCATCTTTGGGATGTGGTGGAACGGGAGATTCGCATCATGGATGTGCAGCCGACAAATCTGCGGCAACTGTGTGATGCCATCATGTCAATATGGACCAAACTCCCTGAGGAATGCTTCCAGCACCTTGTTGAATCTATGCCACGAAGAATTGAGGCAGTTCTGAAGGCAAAAGGGGGTCCAACCCGTTACTAGCATGGGGTACCTAATAAAGTGGCCGGTGAGTGTATATTGTACACACTATCTACATATGAATCCTTATTCACTCAGAGTCTTTATGGTAGAGATGATCTTACCACAGTGTCTCCAGTTTACAGAGAGGATTCTCAAGTAGATCAGAAAGCTGCTTCACTCCTGAGTCTCCTAGTTTATTCCCAGACAGATCCATATCTCTCAGGTGTGAGGGGTTTGATCTCAGAGCTGAAGCCAGAGCAACACAACCTTCATCTGTGACTCCACACTCACTCAACCTGTACAGAACAATGACACACATTATATTCAGATCCAGAGATAAACACAACACTTAAACAATAAATAACATAGGCAAGTTTATTTATATAGCACATTTTATACACTATGGCAATTCAAAGTGCTTTACATAAAGAGGAAATAATCACAAAATACAAAGCAAGGAAAATTCAAACAGTTATTCAAAAGCTTTACATAGAAAGAAATTATAATAATCACACTGTAGCAATTCATAGAGTTTTGCATAGAAAATAGACAAAATAAAAGTTTAGTTTAATAATGTATTTGTAAGCATTTTAAGGAACGTGTGTGTGTGTGTGTGTGTGTGTGCGTGTGTGTGTGTTAGGGCTGGGAGAAAAAAAAACGATTCACCAAATCTACATTTGTTTTGTTTACGATTTTAAAATAGATTTTTTATTTATTCCAGAATTGATATTGATTCAAATAAAATTGTTTTATTTTTTATTTTTGTCGCTGCTTATAGCCGAGGTTGACAGAAGTTAGCCATTCTTGCTCCAACAGAGGCTGAAGCGTGTGGTTATCTATGAGTGTCGTAATATCCCGTTCAAGTGGACGTGTGGAAGCGGCGTGAGACTGAATCACTAGCTGCGTTTACATGGACACTTATAATATTGAGTGTGTGAGTGTGTGAGAGACGACAACTCACTACTCGTACCTGCTCTCTCAGCGCTCACGGCCCCGCTAGTGATATTGAGTGTGTGTGTGTGTTTGTGAGTGAGTGAGTGTGTGTGAGTGAGTGTGTGTGTGTGTGTGTGTGTGAGAGACGACAACTCATTGCGTGACTACATGTAATGTCCTTCAGATATTATCCTCGTCTCCACATGGGCCGTTTCAGTCTCTTCTTCCAAACTCTCAGTCCGAAGTCTTCTGCATGTTACAGCGGGTGAGTCTCTAGTTGTCACTGATGATCGTCGTTTGAACCTTTCTGGATCCGCCATCAAATTAATAAGTTTAATTATATCAAGTGCTGTGAGAAAAGGCTATAAATCTCTACCTCTAACATCCTCACACGCAATGCAGCCTACTAGCCGAGAGTCTTCTTTATGTGGACAGATGTGTGTGTGTACAGATGTGTGTGTGCAGATGTGTGTGTGTACAGATGTGTGTGTGTGTGTGTGTGTGTGTGTACAGATGTGTGTGTGTGCAGATGTGTGTGTGTGTGCAGATGTGTGTGTGTGTGCAGATGTGTGTGTGTGTGTGTGTGTGTGTGTGCAGATGTGTGTGTGTACAGATGTGTGTGTGTGTGTGTGTACAGATGTGTGTGTACAGATGTGTGTGTGTGTACAGATGTGTGTGTGTGTGTGTACAGATGTGAATTATTTATTAATTAACCAGAGCAAGAGAAAGAGAGAGAGTGCGTGCGCACAAATGAGTGAGCTAATATTGAAGCTTGTTGGTTTAAAATAATTGTAACTGACTTGGAAACCGATGTTTTCCCAAACTTGCGATCTTAAAGAGGCCGGCGGGTCCTGTAACTCTTGTGGGTCACCAACACTGGCCGTACTCGTCCTTTAGTGCTGCCATTCTCTGGTGCTGCTATCTCTGACTCACTCACTGGACCGTCGACCTGACAACAAACTGCACACATATGCGGAGCTCGCCTAAGGCGGCGCTACAGATTACGTGTCCCTAAAGAACCCGCGTATGTAACAGTAGTTCCGCATTACATTAATTCATTTCCACGCGAGTTTTATTTATTTTTATACCGTGTATTCTCCATGTAAATTTGTGCAGTGAACCGTGACGCCTGTACCGTTTTGGTTCAATACGAACACATGTACCGTTCCACCCCTAGTTGTTAACAAAGCATTATCTAACTCTTTACATAAATTAAGCTAATTAAACAATAATACTTTGTTAATTACAGTGACAGTGAATGAAGAACTCAGTATTTGTATATAGTCTCTTAATACATTAACTACAGCTTATATATTATTATATACTATTCATTAACTATAAACTAATAGTTTGAAAATTATTTATAAGAGCTGTGTTACTGTATACTTGTGATAAAGTGTCACTATTATTTCAAACTGGTCGCATTAAGTGTAATTGTTCCTTTTGTATGTGATGGAGTGATTCTTCTTTCTCAAAAATAACACAAAATAAACAAAGTAAAGATGAATTTGACTGATAGCATTATTATTATTTTTTAAGATTTCTATAGTTATGGTGATATATTGTTACCGTGTGTTATTTTGGCCATGATAATCATGTAGTGATAAATCTGATATGGTGTCAGTCCTGGTTCAGGTGAAACACACACCACTTCCCTCTTTTCAGCTGCACACACACATTTTGAGGAAATGCTCACGCTTTTGCAAGGGTCTGTTTGTACAAGCATTACAAGGCAAGTTGATTTACACCAAACATTTGTGCTTTAAAAACCCTCTTCACTGTATCCTGCATCTGTTGTCTGGTTTGTAGTTCGTCCGGTTTATTTAACTGTTAGTTTTACTGTGTTTTGTGGGATAATAATATAGTGCGATGTAAATGTTCCTCTTCAGGGAGACTCTCACCGCTGTCTTCTACCGCCGGCAGGATCTGACGCTTCAAGCAGGAATCTGTCGCTGAACCACCGGATGGGGCTTACGCCACACATATATTGTATACACTGTCTACATATTAATCCTTATTCACTCAGAGTCTTTATGGTAGAGATGATCTTACCACAGTTTCTCCAGTTTACAGAGAGGATTCTCCAGTAGATCAGAAAGCTGCTTTATTCCTGAGTCTCTTAGTTTATTCCCATACAGACCCAGATATCTCAGGTGTGAGGGGTTTGATCTCAGAGCTGAAGCCAGAGCAACACAACCTTCATCTGTGACTCCACAATCATACAACCTGTAGAGAACAATGACACACATTAAGCCTATATCCAGAGATAAACATAACACTTAAACAATAAATAACATAATGCTGTCAATATGAAATATATAGAAATACTCATTAGTTCAAGTTGTTAAATTACATCAATTATGATAAGGGGATTCAATATACAGTTTGTACAGTATAAAAAATCATTATTTCTATGGAAAATCCCCATAAATCACAGAAACCCAACGGTGTGTGTGTGTGTGTGTGAGATTAAGTGTGTGTGTGTGTGCTTAGTGTATTTGTAAACATTTTAAAGAACGTGTGTGTGTGTTTGTTAGGACTGGGAGAAAAAAATCGATTCACATAAGTATCGCAATTTTCTGGTTCACAATTTAAAAAAATATATTTTTATTTATTCCAGAATTGATATTGATTCAAATTAAATTGCTTTATTTTTTTTAAAAATATTTAAAAATTGCTTTATTTTTTATTTTTGTCGCTGCTTATAGACGAGGTTGACAGAAGTTAGCCACTCTTGCTCCAACAGAGGATGAAACGTGTCATTATCTATGAGTGTCGTAATATCCCTGTCTAGTGGATGTGTGGAAGCGGCGTGAGACTGAAGCACTGAAAGCCCTCGCGCTACTCATATGCTGAGAGAGAGATAAGACAGTAGAGCTGACCGATTCAGCTTTAAAATACTGTGATCTCCATTCAAACACACACACCATCTTCTTACAATTCCTCTGTCTATTAAACCTTTGACAAAATCATATCGCAACATTTTAAATCTGTGTTGACGCTGCCGCTGACCCAGAGAGAGTTGTCATGAAACAGCTTAAATAGAAGTAATGGGATAAAAAGTTTAAAGTTCAAATATAAACACTGATGTCTAGCGATCAAAATAGAGTAAATCAGATTTTGATAGAAACAATCGCAATTCTTAAAAATCGCAATACATATCGTATCGGCACCCAAATATCGTGATAATATCGAATCAGGAGATAGGTGCATCGTCCCAGCCCTAGTGTGTGTGTGTGTGTGTGTGTCTGTACACGTGTAAGCTTAATGTTTTGTAAACATTGAGCGAATTGCTTAAAGTTATTGAAACTTTAGAGTGATTGAGAAGCACGGATAAATGAACAATAAGGAACGGGACGTGCTTGATGATGTAAAAGCACATTAGAACTCAAATCGGCTCTCACACAATGGCTTCTTGTGCCGCCTGTCAGTGTGTCCCGCTTCCTGCCGTTTGAATGGGCAAATACACACACAATTACGTAATAAACACCCATCTTGCTTCTTGTGCGCGCGCTCATTATTTGAATGACTTTTCACAACAGTTTGGAAATGATGTAATCGAGTCACATGACAATGGTAAGTGCTTACGATCTTGTATATTAAGATATGAAGTATTTCTTATGGCCAGTTAGATTGGCATATGCTGTACTTTATGGATTTATGTATCATAAGTCTGAGGTGTTTTATCTGCACCATCATATTACAGCAACTGCTGGTGTAATTATGCAGTTGTGGAGACGAATGATGATTCCACAGCAATGCATGCATATACACTACAGTCAAGAGTTTTGGGTCTGTAATATTTTTAAGGTTTTTAAAAGAAGTCTCTTTTGCTGCATTTATTTGATAAAAATTCCCCAAAAAAACAGTGATATTGTGAAATATTATTCCAATGTAAAACAGCTCTTTTCTACGTGAATTTATAGTAAAGTGTAACTTCATCAAAGAATCCTGAAAAACAATTGTACACGACTGTTTTCAACATTGATAATAATAATTAATGTTTTTTTGAGCATCAAAATATAATTAAAAATTAAATATAATAATGATTTCTGAAGGATCATGTGACACTGAAGACTGGAGTAATGATGCTGAAATTCAGCTTTGATCACAGGAATAAATTACATTTTTAAATATATTAAAATAGAAAACAGTTATTTTAAATTGTCATCATTTTTAATAACATTACTGTTTATTTTTGTATTTTTAATCAAATAAATACAGCATTGGTGAGCAGAAGAGACTTCTTTAAAACATTAAAAATCTTACTGATGCAAAACTTTTGAAAGGCAGTGTGTGTGTTGTGATTTGATTGGCGAACCGAACGCAGAGGGCACAGAGATGGAAAGGGCACCGTATAATGAGGTGTACACCATTCCACCCCGGTTGGGGCTGCCCTCACCGGTCTGACGCCGTGGCGCCAGACCTTTTCTTTTGAGCCGCAGCCTTCTCAGCATGAAGAACGGTCCTCGGATCCGGCTTCTGCTTTGAAGGCTTTGGCTGCTGTGTTGTGTATGAGAAACTAGCCGGCTGGAGCTGCTCACGCCCAGCAGCCCCAGTGGGTTGGACATAGCGAGGGAGAGATTATCTTGTATCTTTCTCCATGATTCCCATCAAATTGAGCCAGAGGTGTCTCTCAGTGACCACATTTCTTTGGCTGCCATCCCTGAGAGATAAATCTGAGGCCCGACGGAGTTCTCAAACCCCATCGGGCCAAACTCCCTCACTTCTGTCCAAATACCACAGCAGGTCAGCCTGATATGCTTGCAGCACTGCTATAGTGTGCAAGCAGGCTCGTGCTAGACCCACTGCCATATATGCTTTTCCCACTAGATTAAAAAATAGTTTTCTTTAATGGTTTAGTGAGAGAAGCCGACGCCTTCAGGGACGATACTGAACCGGGAGACATAGCTCGCAAGTGTCTGTTCTACCCGGGGTATTGCCCCATAGCCATACTCTCTTAACCCCCAAATATCTGAATATACATGAATGTGGGGCTAAAAAATGAGTAAGGCTTTTTCAATGATCTAGACAGCTCGCTGTGCAGATCGGGAAAAATGGAAGGCCCCGTGATGGAGGTGGAAAAATAGAGGGAAGGAAACTCGTTCAATTTATTTTAAGGACGAGTGCCCCCTTATTTCTGCTGGCCATTAAATATTTAATTTATCTACAGCCTTAGTAAACACCTCCACCAGCTTATTATTATATATATATTTTTTATATACATTCTTTATATATATACACTTTATTTTATATATAATATATAAACTATCATATATATATATATATATAGGCTATATATAATTCTCATACGCTGGGGAAGAGATGGCAAATCCACTTCCCCCATGATTGTGTACACTTTCAATGCCCAGCACATCTACCTCCTCGGAGGTAGAGCACTGAAGCATTGATTTCTCTCCCCGGGCGGAAGAGACCGCAGCGCGGGCTTCCGAGACCGGAGAGAGAGCAATGGATCACTCGTGGAAAGGGAGGAGATAAGATCCGCGGACCCGTCTCCAACCCCGTAACGAGATCCTATTCGCGATCCACAGGAATGCATTCTCCGCGCTGCCTCGGCAGACGCGTGTCCTGCACCCCGAGGTTCGCGAGCCTGGCCACTTTCCTCGAAAAGTGACAGGCGGGAGTGGAGCATGCGAAGCGAAAGCTTCTCACAATGTTGCAATCAGCCCCCTCGGAGGCTGATACCGCATGCTCCACTCCCAAACAAACTACACAAAGCTCGTGTGTGTCCCCACCCGTTAAATAACGCGGGCAGGGAGAAGCACAGAGTTTGTAAAGTTGTTTCGCCATAACACTTCCCAATAATATCGAACAGACAACAATAAATAGACAGAGACAGAGTAACACAGATCGCTTGCTGAGACACAGAAGCTAATGCTGCGTTTCACCGGATGTGCTCTTATGCCTTCCTGGTCATGACGTCACCCGCCCGTGACGCTCATTCTTTCCATTGGACTAGTTGACATTGATGCTCAGATGCATTCACGCTGGGGGCGTTCCCAAAGAGTCAAGTGACCCATCGCGAGTTCCCTCGAAAGGGAACTACTGCATTGATTGAAGGGAGATCAATGCAGAACATACGCGCAAAAAAGGTGACGCAGACCCAGCTGAAGCTGAAAGCTAAGCGCCCTTGAATTCTTATGAAGCGAATTATGGGCAGTATGGAAATACTTATAGAAAAAAAAGCGTGGTTGTCCTCGTGGGTAGATATCCAATTTGCAAAAAATGTGGAAAATTGCTGCAAAAGGAGGATACATAGGACACCATCCCTCCTGCAGATAAAGGTATGTCCCGACTATAATTTAAGGCCGAATGATTTACGTGATGCAGAGGGAATCCCGGAATCCAGTCATGAAAATGGAATTTACATAACGCAGATGTCACATAAAACACGCAAAATAATGGATGGATATATAAATGGAAAGTAGAACTGTGCAATTAATCCAATCGCGACATGGTCTGTGAATGTTTAAGCGCAAAAATACTGCTACGGAAATATATAACCTGCTTCTGCGTTTCTGTTTGAATCGGTGTGAATGAGCTGCGCCGCTTTGTCTACTACATACTCAAGTACGCGACGCGCTCATGGTGTTTTCAGCGTCTCACAAACAATTTGAGGACATCAATACATTAACATTTCCAGAGCTGCTCTGAGAGAACGCCTAATGAGCCTTTTCATAATTTTATTTGAGAAAAACCATTGTCTAATACACTTTGAAACAGGTCTTCACTACAACCTGTCAAAATAAAAGTTCGTTTTAACTAGGAGGAAATTATGACAGAAATGTATTACTATTGTAGGCATACAATAGAACGTACTTCTCAAAATAATAATAATAACAACAACAATAATACAATTTATTTAAACATTATTTAAGGAATATATTTTTTGTCCATGGTTTCATTTAGTAAATCTGTTTTTGCAGCGCTTCCCCAAAAAATAAAAGGACACAAGTTTCAATTTTCATTTGATCACCACCCTTTTTGATAATATATTTGGATTAAATCATAAAAAGAAACATTCATTTTCTGAATAAAATGCATTTCATGGGACTATGTTATTCTTAAACATTTTAATAAATTATTAATGTTAAAAATAAGTTGTTAATCTAATTCATTATACCGTTTTGCGGTAGGTGGTATGCCATACGGAACCGTTGCCACTGAAACTGCATATTAACGCACCAGTGGGGCTCGACAGCCTT